ACTTCGACGAGATAATGGAGCGCCCCATTGCATCAAGCTGGGCACTGGCTGCACGGGTGCTCCGCGGGCGTTCTCCATGAAGTTCGCCCGGATCACGCGCTCTCCAGAGTGCAGCGCCCAGGCTGCGCGTTGGGGCCCTGAGCTCGAGGTCAAGCCTGAGGCACTTACGAGCCATGCTCACGGCGTATCAGAGCTAGTGCTCATGCTGTCCAATCAAGTGGGCGACCTGAAGATAGATGGGCAGAAGAGGCACGTGGACCAGCTGATCTCCCACATCGATAGCGTCTTCGGCAAGATGAAGGGTGACTTGGAGGATTCACTAAATGCGTCGCCCACCAGAGCCGCGCCACGGACGGCGCGGTCACCCTAGATCAAGACGAGTACATCGACGCGCTGATCCCTATCATGCGCGTCCACCTGGTCAAGGCCCAGGCGGATCAGCTGGCCACCAGTCCGCTCCCTTACCTATTCGTATCTCTTTTGGGAGCAGTAGCCTACGCGCTACTTGCACAACGCCATGCGGCTGTTTACGTAGTCGCGCTGCAGAGAGCCAAGAACAAGCTGCCCATCAGACACGTGATGCAGCTCAACTCAGTCGTTCTGGCCATGCAGAAGCGAAAGGCACGCATCTGTTTCCCAGCGATGAAGCGCAGCAAGCGACTGGTCGCGCACAGCGACGGCTTTTTAAGAGGGGAGGGGAGACGGGGTGCGGCACGCGCGGCGCCGTGTACATGCGCATGGGCACGTGCCCCAAGACGGGCAAGGAGGTCTGCCACCTGCTGGATGCCATCAGCAGATCACACAAGCTTGTGTGCAGGTCCTCCTTCGGCTCAGAGCTGCTCGCGGCCTGCGGCGCAGCTGGCGGGGTGCAGCAGCGCCTCCTCACCCTGCGCGAGATGGTGCACGGCCCGGCCACCGCGGAGGAGATCCGACGGCTCCGGGGGGGAGGAAGCTACGCCATCCTGGCCGTGCTGGTCGTAGACGGCATGTCGGTCTTCACGGCGCTGCTGTCCGACCCCGTCAGGCCGCCGTCCGAGAACTCGATGGCCGGCCATTTCTGGTGGCTGAGCGACCAGCTTCGCACTAAGCAGCTCGAAGTCATGCTGTGGTGCGACGCCAGAGACATGAGGGCCGGCCCGATGACTGAGATAAACATCGGTCGGGACCTCATCTTGGGAGTCATGAGTGGCCATGCCAGTTGCACTCGTCCGACGGTGCGCTTCGGCGACGAGACGAGGAATGAGAGCGCGCCGAGCAGCCAGCGCTCGAGGCTGAATTACAAGCCCAGGGCAGGCGCGGAAACTGAGGGAGCTGCAGCAGACTGCGACTACGACACCGCGCAGCCAGCCTAAGCAGACAAGCCCAGGAGTAAGACAACATGCTCCTGTCCTTCATATCAGCGAGGAGGGCCGCGCTTTTTGCCGGCTCTCCAGAGACAGTGAGGGGAGACAACATTCCATGGATGTTGTTCCAGGCGGGTCTTTTTGGCAGGCACGCCGGGAGTTCAGCACCTACGACTACGCGGTGCTCCACCCGGCGCAGCTCCTCGGCCCGCAGACCTTCGACGTGGGTTTCCTGGAGCTGTAGGCCAGACCCGAGGCAGGCTAGCAGGGCGGGGGTGGTCTCTTGGTGGAAGTGTAACTGCTTCTACCGAGGGAACAACGGACGTGTTTGAGCACCAGACTCGAACGGGAATTCCAGCAGTACCAGGTGTAGATATCCCGCTGCCTTTGGGGCCTTGAGCCTGGCCAGGCTTAGCGCCCGCATATGCGGCCCACAGCACCGCGTGCCGCATGCATCGCTCGTGCAAAACAGAGCGCGCATTCTCTTGTCTTTCACGCCCTACTTGTTATTCTAATAGCTTCTTCCTCCTCTCCCCCTTCCTCTCCCTCATCTTCCCTTCCCTTCTCGTCCTCTTCCTCCTCCTCCGGGATGCGTGGCCTGCGCAATGCGATTGCGATGGCGACGTGCCGTCCGCGCTGCGGATGTCGAAATTCCTTGGAAGTGGCCGTGGCAATACGTTCTTGGGCGGGACTCTGGGCGATGGGGGTATCGGGCCCCGCGTGCCAGAAACACCTTCCGTGATGGGGTGTGGTATGTAGAAGGATGCACGTGACGTTTGGAAGCATGGCGCATGATGGTCACATGATTATTGTCTTTGTCGCCGTTCAACTCTCATTCATCTGCCCTCCGTGGCCACCGCTCGTTGGCGCCCTTCGTGGCCCCGTGCGCAGTCCTTTCGCGTCCCCGCTGTCGCCCTGCCTGGCCTACTTCGTGCCCTTCGTGGCCCTGCCGTCGTTCTCTCTCGCTCTCGCTTCGTCGTCGTCGTCGTCGTCGACGGTCTCCTGTCCGTCCCTCTTGGGGTCGGGTTGCAGCCGATCAGCGCTGCCGCTGGCCAGGCCGACGGTCCGCGACGGCCCCGCCGCTTGCCGGGGCCGGGCTTGCAGGGAAGACAAGTACACCCCCCAAAAGGGGCACGATCGAAGACGAAGAGGGCGGGCATCCAGGGTTTGGGAAATACGCGTTAACGGACACACGAGCAGATAACAGCGAACAGTAACAAAATGATTGTTGCTGTTGCTGTTGTTGATGTTGTTGTGTTTGTTGTTGTTGAAATCTCACTTCTGAATCATTATGGTGGATCCCCCCACGCTGGTGCATCGTTTTTGTTCTCAGTTAGAGTTTGCCCTTCGACGCTCGCGCCGTGTTTTTAACAAGGGATATCTTCCTGGTTAGACTGTGCCCCTGGCCCCCCAACTGCAACAACAACGGTTTCCGCCTGAGACTTCCTCCGAATTTACTCTGGACCGCCCCTCCCGCCCGAGACTTCTTCCCAATTTGTTTCTCGGGAGCGGCGCTCCCGCTTGATACTTCCCCAGTCCGGGTCAAATTGCGCTGTTGCTCCCCAGGGCTACAACAACAACGGTTCCCGCCAAAGACTTCCTCATACTTTATCCTGGGCCCCCGCTCCCGCCTGAGACTCCTCGCGCTTTATTCAGGAATCGCGCTCTTGCCTGGGATTTGTTTACGAATTATTTGGGAATCGCTCTTTCGGCGCTGTGGAATCGCGCTCTCTCTGGGGACCCGCTTGCAATTCACTCAAGGATAATGCTTTTGCGTTGGAGTTTCCGGCAATTTACTCATTCGCCGCGCTCCCGACGCTCAAGCACCCAGGAGTCGCACTCGCGCTTACGACCCCCTCACCGATTATTTAGGAATCGGGATCTTGCTCCCCTTTATGGCCCAGTTGCAGCCCTTCGCGGCCCCTTCGATGCCCTTCGTGGACCCGTTGCAGCCCTTCGTGGCCCCCTCGCTGCCCTTCGTGACCCCGATGCAATCCTTAGTGGCCCCCTCGCTGCCCTTCGTGGCCCCGTTGCACTCATTCGCGGCCCCCTCGCTACCCTTCGTGGCCCCGTTGCGCCCTTCGTGGCCGCCTCGGTGCATTTGGTGACTCCGTTGCAGCCCTTCGTGGACCCTGTCGCTGCCTTTCGTGGCCCCGTCGCAGCCCTCCGCGGCCCCCTCGCTGCCCTTCGTGGACCCGTTGCAGCCCTTCGAGGCCTACTCGCTGCCCCTCGTGGCCCCATATATGCATGCCTTTCGTGGCCCCCGCTCGTTCGCGCCCGTCGTGGCCCCATCTGCATGCCCTTTCTGGCCCCGCTGTCACCCTTCGCGGCCCCCTCGCTGCCCTTCGTGGCCCCGTTGGTGCCTTCAGTGGCCCCGTCTTTGCCCTACGCGGCCCAATATACGCATGCCTTTCGTAGACCCCGCTCGTTCGCGCCCGTCGTGGCCCCATGCGCATTCCCTTCGTGGCCCCCTCGCTGTCCTGCGTGGCCCAGTTGCTACCCTCAGCGGCCCCGTCGTTGTCTTCAGTTGGTTCCGCGCCCCGGGTCCCATGTGCGGCTCCGCCGACAACAAAAATCAACGCGCGACAGCGCCAAGTGCAAATCTCGATGGCAGCGCAGCTGCGCGCCAGTAGTGCATACATTTGCGCGGGCCCTTTTGGTGTCGCATTGTGGCCGGTAGGGGGCCTCTCGGGTTTTTGTTGGGGGCGCATCTTGGGGGTCGCTGGGGTTTTTGGTGGGGAGCCTCTTGGAGGCCTCTTATGGCCTTTGGGGGGCCGTCTTGGGGGCATTTCGTGGCCGCCTTGGGGCTCTCTTGGGGCCATGCTGTGTCATTTTGGGAGTGTCCTGGTCCGTGTCAGTTGGCCTCTTTCGGCCATCCGTGGGACCTGGGCCGTCCCAGGGCCCTCTTGGGGGGGGGCCTCGTGGCCGTTCTGGGGCAATGCTGGAGGCTTCCGGGGCTTGCATGGTCCCCCGAGAATCGATAGACACGGAAACGTCAACGTACAGCCAAAAGCAATCCGGAATTCACGCGTCTGGCCTCTGGAGGCGCTTTCGGGTGGGCCCTTGGGGGCCCTATGAGGCCGCCTGCGCCACATCGCGGACCCTTCTTTTCCTGGGGGCTCTGGATGCATTTCTTGTGGGGTGCGCTTCCGCGGAGTCCTCTTGGTGCTGAAAGTGGTCCTGTTGCGCCATTTCGCAGGCCTCGTGGGGTCATTGAAGGGCCCCATTTGGGAATTCTTGGCACCCCATGGGCCGTGTTAGTTCTTTTCGGGCCTTTTGGGGGTTCCTTTTGGGCGTCTCTGGAGAACGTCTTGGGCCGTCTGTCTATAGGATTTGGTTGCAAGTGTGCGATTGGGAAGCGAAGGGCCCATCTCAGTCGTCTTCCAATTTGGAGTATCTTGTGCGCATATTTGTGAGGCCATCGGGAGCCAAGTTTGCATATCGTCCGCGAACTATGTTGAAATAGTCTGGGGCAACCCTGGGGCGAGCTGGGACGTCCGATCCGTTCCGGCACAAGCCCCAGTACCACCCCATCCCGTCTCAGGATCCGCCCCTCCCCTACAGTCCGGCTTTAGACGAAATTGTTGGGGAAGGGTTTTTTGGAGGCATGGCAAGGATCTCACGCGGCGGTGACCCCGAGGGGGCGGCGAATCGGAGACTTAGAGCGAGGGATAATCGAGTCTGCAGAAATCTTACATGTGGACGGGTGCAGGGTTCAGCTTAGAAAGTCTCTAAAGTTTAATTATGCGGCTGGTACCAGAGTAGTCATCCTGTCGCAGGCAGCTAGCGCAGAGGTCCTGAACATTGCACCTGCTGGAACGGATACTTTGTATGTCAACCACCTCTCGAGTTGGGTTCATGGGGACTTGGTCGCCATCAGGGTTAACTGCACTGACGTTGAGGCAGGCCAAACTACGTTCGGTGAGACGACAAATACAATCAAGAGTGTTGATTTTGATTCGAAGACCGTGAAGCTCAAGGATGCGTTGACGCATGCAGTTCCACGTGGCGCGGTCATCGTCAAAGTGCCGCCCAGCGCGGCTTCCACATCCGGCCCGTCGATCAGCACGGCGGGGTGCGGCGCCGTCAAAGCCGACCCGACTTCAAACCCCACGCCCAGCCCCACGACCATTTTGACGCCTCCCCCCGCGGGCAGCCCCACAGCCACCCCCACGGCCACCCCGTCGGCCACGCCCCCAATCAGCCCCACGGCCAGCTCCACGGGCTCTGGTTCGGGCCAGGTCTCGGACTCGAGCTCAAGTTCAAGCTCGGATTCGGGCGTGGGCTCGAGTTCGGGTTCGGTCTCGGGCTCGGGCTCGGCAGAGGAAATCTTCGCGGCGGCTGCGGCCGCAATCGCGGGCCGACGCTAAGGAGGCCCGTCGACCACCGAAGTTGCGATTTCGCAAATTCTGCCTTCGCCCAGCACGGTCACGACCCAGGACGCACGGGCGGGGACCGATATCCTGAACGTTGTTGACAGCAGTATTTTCGCGGAAGGAGACGCAGTCCGCATTGCCGTGGGGAGCACGGGCTCGCACCTCATCGGCACTGTCGCACCCGGCTGCGAGACAGGAGATCATTGTCTTCAGTTGCAGGAGCCGTTGGGCCAGGACATTGTTTCCGGAAGCGCCGTCGCAGTCTTTACAGATACATAGTTTCGAGGCGTTTGTTGATGGCGATGTCGGGACGCCGATTGCAGTTTACTAGTGGTGGCAGTTCCAGGGGCGAGCGAGCTCTCGCAGGCCCGCTTGGATCCAAGGTCGATCCCGAGAGCTCGTGCCGATTGCGTGAACCTAGGGCGAGTGATGCCGCCCACTTGTTTTTTTTGGTAGTTTTTTGTTTTTGCTGATGGCGATGCCTTGTGGCAGGCAACGAACGCCATAATGGCTTATGCAGCAGACGGTGTGCACACAAAGTTTCTCCAGCGCTCAAGACGCTGCCTTGTCCAGGTCCTTTCGACAGTCTTATGTCGGAGGTGCCAGAGTTAGTCCTGGCCCAAGGTTCGTTCCTCCTTTCTCGCGCCATGTTGCAGCCTCTGGGGCCCCCTGGACCTTCCGAGGGAGCGGTGCTCTTGAGGTGATCTGGGCCTCCCTGGGGACGCTGGAGTCGCCTTTGAGCCAGGGTCACCCCTACCAGCGCCCGCGTCTGGGATGTGACCAGCGACTGACCGAAGAGCCATACGCCGTCTGGCGCTTACGCAGGAGTATGCGATACTCAAACAATGTTGACGGAGGCGACAAGTGCGCGCAGGAGCTGCAGCGCGCTTTGGGTGTAGCATGCGGATTTGTGCAGGGGGAGGTCGGGTGAACGGGAGATGGGCAAGAGGAGGATACCAACGCAAAGCAGATTGATCAGAGCCGCTCTTGATCAGCACGCCTGTCATTCGAGGCAAAGTTCGAGGCGAGTTGTCTGCAACTACGATCGTCGTCCGCGCCATTCTGCAGGGCATTTTCGGTAGCGAGAAGAAGCGCGAGGCAGCTTTTTCAGGCAAACGTTCTTTTCATCCATGCCTAGGCCGCCCAGGATGTTCCTGTATTGTCTCGGGGTCTCAATGGATGGGGCGCGAGCTACCCAGTTTCGGGTTTGCCGCAGCTGCTGCATTTTGACGATCCCGGTCTGGATCTTGTTCGTCCAGCTTCCATGGTTTACAGCGGGGGGATGCGTCACGTTTCAGACCAGGTCTGTTATTTTTCAGGCGGCTCCGTCAGGTGAGTCCCCCAAACCTGAGTCCCGCGTCTCCGCCACAAAAAGGCAGTGGCCCTCTCACTTGCTGATTGGCACTGTCTTACAACGCACGGCGGGGACTTTCTCGTCTTCTCGCACGGGCTCGACCCAGAGCTCCGACGGTGGGCCCCTTTCTTTTCCTCGCCGTACTTCCTCTCCCACGTAACTCAGGTCAGACGAGAGGGTTATCTGCTCGTTTGGGGGACCTTAACGTGGCCAATCTATCGGATGTGTTCGATGCGAGTTCGATTATAGTTCAGTTCTACTTCGACCCAAGTTCGACTCAAGTTCGAAGCCAGTCGATTGACGCTCGACTCATCACAGACGCATTCGTGCAACAAGTGGCTCTAGGGAGGTCCCCCACGCGAGTATCCAAAAACGGGGGGGGGAGGGCGAAATCTCTACACTCAGCCGGTTTCGGCCTCGCCCCCCGGCGCTTTCCTCGATAAATCGGTGCATCTCGCGGCGGAGGCGGCGGGAACAGCGGCCACGTGAGTTGATTCGTGAGTCCCCATCTTGCTGTCCATCCCTTCTGTCCGCCCATGCGCTGATTGCCAGCACCCATACCTACGACGCGACCCCAAGATTCTTCAGGCTTACGCCACATCCGCCGACCCCTTAAATGCGTTCGAGCAAGACATGTCTGACGCTGTTGAAAGAGCAGGCGGAAATGCCGGGTGCACAGAAGAAACACAATTCATCGGGGGAGAGGCTCTGTCGGAAATGCGCGGAGGGGCGAGAAAACGAGGTGCGACGTGACGTGCGCGGCGTGCGGAGGAGCGTTCTCGGACACGAAACATTTGCAGCAGCAACAGGTGGGGAATCATCAAAAGGCGACAGGAGCGGCGCGTGCAAGAGAATATTACCGAAGTCGGAAAGGTCGTTTGGCGTCTCGGAGCTCTCTTGGGCCGTCTTGGAGGTTTTTGTGAAGGCCTTCTTGGCCCGTGTTTAGGCCCTCTTGGCCCAGGAAATGTCCCGTGATGCGCTCGTGCCGGGCCCGGGGCGGGGGGGCAAATCTCCGGTTTGAGGTCCTTGGGAGGGTTATGAGGGATCTCTGGGGAGGCATCTCGCAGGTTTCGTGGAGGTAGTTTGGTTCACTGATCGCCGTTTTGGGACCTCTTGGGGCCTCTTTTGGGCTTCTCGGGCTCTCTTTGGAAGTCTTTTGGGGGTCTCTTGGGACCTTTTGGGCGGCTCGTGGGGTGTCCCAGGGCCAGGTGGGAGCGGAAGGCTCAGATTTTCGGTTCGGGCTCCGCCGCCGGGGCCCCTCTAGGAGCCGTCTTGGGACTCTTTTGGGCCGATTCGGGAGCCTCTGGGGCCGTCTTGGCGCCGTTTTGTGCCGTCTTCGGCGCCTTTTGGGACCCTTTTGGGACGTCATGGGGTGGCCTTGGGGGCCTCTTAGACTTGCTGGAACTCCGTGCAGGCTGAAAAGTCGTCGATGCTAAAAATGTACGCTTCCCAATGGAAAGTCAATGTTTTTCGCTGCTTTGGACCTTCTTGGAGCGCCCCTTCGGGGCCTCTTTGAGCGTCTTGGATGCATCGTGAGCTGTTGGAGCCACTGAAGGCCACTGAAGGCCACGTGGGAGCCACTGAAGGCCACGTGGAGGTCCTCTTGAGCCGTCGTGGTGCGTCCCGGGGCCATTTCGAGGCCACCGGAGGAGTCCCTGCAGGATTTTCGGGAGCGCATGATCCTCCCGGGGGAATCGGGGAATTTGAACCGACCCCCCCCCCCGTCCAAATCGACCGGACCGGGCTCCCGGGGGAGGGGTTTGGGGAGGGGGAAGATCTCACACGCCGATGAACCCCAAGGGGTCGGCGGATTTCTTGGGGCGGGATTTAGGGGGGGTCTGCGGGTGTTTGCGGATGCCCGCTCTCGCGTCGGACGGTGGAGGTCGCGAAGTCCTCGGCGTGCAGCTGAGTCGTTTCGGGCGCGTGGTGCTCCACCTCCTCCTTTTCCTCCTCCTCCTCCTCTTCCTCCTGCCCCTTCTCCTCCTCCTCCTCCTCCTCCTCCTGCCCCTCCTGCTCCCTCTCCTCCTCCTCCTCTTGCCCCTCCTCCTGCCCCTCGTCCTCCTCCTCCTCCTGCCCCTCCTCCTCGGGCTTCATACTCGCTGCCGCGCGCTCACCTCGCGGGGCGCGGGTCGGCACCCCCTGTTGGCGCGAGGGCGTGCGGCCCCTTTGGTCGTCCTACCCGACGGGCTGCCTTCCGGAGGGGGCACGAACACACAGATGCAGTGGAGCGTCGATTCCCCAGGAAAACATACGGGGAAGTGGGGGAAGATGTGGGAAGATATAGGGGTTCCTGTGGGGGAAGTGGGCGAAGGTAGTGGGCGTCGATGCCCAGGAAAACATATGGGGAAGTGGGGGAAGATATGGTGGGAAAACGAAAGCCCAGAAGATACGGGAAACTATGGGGGTTCCTGGGATTTGTGTGTATATCTCTGTGGGTGTATTTCTCTCTGTGTGCGTGCGCGCTTGTGTGTGTGCGTGTGTGTGTGCGTGTGTGCGTGTGTGTGTGTGTGTGTGTGTGTGTGTTTGTGTGTGTGCGTGCGTGCGTGCGTGCGTGCGTGCGTGCGTGCGTGCGTGCGGGATCGTGCGTGCGTGCGTGCGTGCGTGCGTGCGTGCGGGATCGTGCGTTTGTGCGGGATCGTGCGTGCGTGCGTGCGGGATCGTGCGTGCGTGTGTGTGTGTGTGTGTGTGTGTGTGTGTGTGTGTGTGTATCCCTGGGCCCCTTCGTTCCTGTCTGGCACCGTCCGTGACGGCTGTTTCGCCCCGGGGCCGCGCCTGACGCCGGGGGCCCAGCCGCTGGGCGGGAGGCGCCCGCCCCGCTCGAGTGCCGGAGCGGGGGGCGGCTCCTCGGGCCGAGGCGGGCGGCCCGAGGAACACGGTCGGGAGTGGACATAGCCCCCAACATTGACCTGTCGATTAGTGAGCGTCTCTTCCTC